TTTGGCGCATTTGAATATATCAAGTTAAATTTGGCACACTTGAATATATACCTATATATATTTAACCAAATTTGGCGTATTTGATGAGAAGTGACTTGGAGCACCATAGCATAAAAAAGCTTAGGAGTAAATAATAATTTGATTATTCATGTCACTATAGCTCGTAAGTACAGTACCCAAATTTTTTGGAATTTATAGTATATATGTATAGTATAGAATAGTAAATATGTAAAGTATGCTATGTTATACTTAATGTATAGTAGTATATATGAAATGTATAACTAATAAATATACTCTATATGTTTTTGTATATTTGTTGTTATTAAATAATTACTTGGTGTATAATTTTAATAAAAAAGTTGAGCGCCGCCAAGGAGAAACCTGTCATCGAGGTTCCAAATTTATCATTTACCGGACTTAATCTAATTTGTTAGAGATTGCATCCGATAAATTATAATTTAAAACTCCTGATGACAGGTTTTTTCTTGAAGGCACTCATTTATTTAAAAATTTTATGCAAAATTATATAATGTATTTGTATGTAATCACTATTATTGGTATTATTAATATGCAAGCGAATATTTTAGTTTCTGTTTTTATTGTTTATCGTTATACACTAATACCGATATGGTCTCTTTTATTCATATTAATTCTGATACTGATGATACTTTTAAGGAAGTTGACTTTGATGAAATAAGTGAACAGATAAAATTTTTTTTTTATTTAAATATTAAAAAGATAGATATTGAACCTTTATATATTTATTTAGGCTGATAATAGTGAAAATGATGGCTCTATTGAAGAAATTGCCTACTTTACCAAAAGTTTAACTGCACAACACATTCAATTTTCTGCTATTTCAGTCGAATATCCACCTACTGATCCCGAAGGTTATGCAATTATATATAATTTTATTGAAAGTGAAAATTATTCTCATGTACAAGATAAAGATAATAATCAAATTCAAAAGACAATGAGAGATAAAGCCCGAGTTGTATTTCATAATGTATGTAGAGATGGCAAATGTTTTAAAACATCATGTTTTAAAACATATTTTAAATATTTTAAAACATTGAAAATTTTTAAAAAAAACAAATATATATTTATTAACCAATTAGATTATAGAATTTTAATCACATTATTATTGTAGTATTTGCTATGTATTCAAAAATTTTAAAATATTCTAAAACAAATAATAAAATTCAAAAATCATATAATTGGCATATCACTTATTTTAAGTAGCTACCTATTTGAAGTTGCTACTTTAAATATCTAATAGCATCTGGCTAGAATTATACATATATGAAGTTTCAATTTTAAAGTTTAATATTAAAAATAGCAACTTAGATTAATTGCAACTTTATATGAAATATTTTTATATATTATTTAATAAAAAACATAAAAAATGTTTTAAAACATGTTTTAAAACATATTTTAAAACATGAAAAAATAAAAAACATGTTTTTTGCTATCCCTAATATAAGGTTACAAATTTAATCTTTATTATATATAATAATAGATAACCATTATAATGAAGAAGCTATAATTGGATTGCTTAAATCTCTTTATACAGTTATAAATACACTTACAGATACAGTTAATGAAATAAAAAAAGATCAAACTGAAATATATGAATTTATAAAACAACAGCAAAAAACTTTTACAAGCCAAACATATTCTTACAAAAAGCAATGGTTTTATATTAAAATAGATTACATATTTAATATATTTTTTATTAAATAATTTTTTTTATTACAGAGAACTATTCATAAAGCAATTCGTGAAAAAAATAAATACTATTAAGTATCCATCAAATGAGTAGCTTGAAATTGTATCTAAAATGGCACTTGAAATTCATAATAAAGGCCAATTAGATGCTGTTCTCATAAATTTTTCATAGAAAAATTTATGAAATAATAGTATTGCGCCTGCAGTAAGTTTTTATTAAATTATAATTTATTTTTATTTTTATTTTTAGTATTATTAATTACTTGCTTTTTTTTTTTACATTAGGCAAAAGAAATCGCCTGAGAATATCAAAGTGAAATAAAATTTAAAGTAAAAAAAGTATTAATAGAAGTATTTAGCAGAGATCAATTTCTACCAATTGAGCAAGCACACCTATCAGCTAACCAAGTAAATACATGGAAACAAAAAGAAACAATTCAATTATGTTTTAATGAATTAGAAAATTCAAAATATTCAGATAATTCAAGCTTTACCTGGCGACTTGCTGTTCTTGAGCAAGTTTTTCCTGATGAAACTACTAAAAATAATATCGCATTTGCAAGTGTTTGCATTGATGTAATTTGTGATGCAAACTATTCCAGGTATGAATTACAACAAAAGTATATTATTCAAAAAATGAATTCTTCTCTTAGAGAAATGGAATCAAGTGAATTAGAAATCGAATTAAAAGCAAATGAAGCTAGTACTAGTAATTTAGAAGGGGAAAAAGAATAAATATATTTGCCAATATATTTATTATTATAATATGTTAAAGTATATTTACTGTATCTACTGCTAGAATTAGTAAACATAAATACTGTATACAGTATATAGCACTTGACAGTTGCTACAAATCATATTAACAATAAATAAAAAGATACTTGTGCTATTATTTTAATCTTACTTTGAAAATGGCGGTTTGAGACTATCGCTAAAATCAAACTCAAAATTTGAATAGTTGGCATTCACATTATTATCTACATTTAATGCTAAGATTCTTTGTGACACATTTAGCATTTAATTATCTATTTTATAGAATATAAATTGTGTTCTCATAACCCAATTAAAGATCTAAACTGAATTCGTTTCAAGATATATTCGAATCACAATACAAGCGAATTTGATATCTTGAATAGTAAAAACAATAAAAAAAAAAAATTATACAAGATAATAAAATATATAACTTCAATTATTGACATATATAAAGAATGAATGCTCACCTCTCTAGAATTATACATAAATTGTCTCTTTATATTTTTCACACAATTTAAAATAGAAGTTTGGACAACACTATTTTCAATGAGAAAATAAAGCTCTCTTTGCAACTTTTATATTCATTGAATGCTTTATCACATCCAATAAGATTATATCTACCAAGAATTTCATCAGTGTCTTTAACTTTTATAGATAAGATTTTTGAAGTTCTTTTAACTTTATGAAGTAAACGTCAATAAGCAAAAGTTACTAAGATTATGACAATAACCAAATTTTCTTGCTTATTGCATAAATTCCAAAATGAATCATAAGTAAATTCATCTTTGCTTCTACGAAGAAGTAATTTGAATTCATATAGATAATTATTATAGAATATGTTTCAGCTTTTCTATCAATTCATGAAGCAGTTTTAGCTATATGTTTTACATTAATAACTTCACTTGTAGCTATTCTGGTGTTAAAATCACACAAGGCGAAGAACTATTGAAGATACTGATCCCAGCCCGTATTACTAGTTAGAATAAAATTATAAAAATTCTATTAAAATGCTCGTTAGAAATTTTACTAAAAAGCAGGCCTAATTTTTTTTTGATTTTGTGTCATATGCCTTTTAAATAAGTTTTTCCAAAGATTTTTTCAAGAATTTTTTATATGGTTAAATATGGTTGTAAATATCATTACTTTATTTTAGCTTAACTTTAATAATAACTTAAATCTGTACGTAATGGTATTGTTAAGAAATTGGTGCAGTTCTAATTGAAATCGCGATATATATATATATATAGATACCATTGCATTATTAATTGATTTTCTACTTTTACCTACTTTTCTTTTCTTTCATATTTAAAAAGTCTTCTCTTTTTATTCACTATAAACTATATCTTTTAGCCTTTAGTTTAAAGCAAACAGAGATCTGTCTTTCGACTTTTGAGTTTTTTTCTAATATAAACACGTACTTTTTAACTTGAGTTTTTTCTAATATAAACACGTACTTTTTTAACTTTTGAGTTTTTTCTAATATAAACACGTACTTTTTTAACTTTTGAGTTTGTTAAGGATTGGGTATTTTGTTAAGTGTTTGCTTTTTTTTGGGTTGTTGTTTCAATGACTCTTCTCTCTTGTTAGTTTTAGGTTTGATGATTTGAAATTGAATATATGTTCCTCTTTGTCTTCCACTATGTGCTGTGATTTCTTTCGTTGCTTCGGAATTGTAAGCTTGGAATTGAACAAGATCGAGTATTTCATTAAGTGTTTGCTTTCTTTCTTGGTTTATTTTTTTTTTTATTGTAATAAATAAAATCAATAGCCCTTGTTAGTTTTAGGTTTGATGATTTGAAATTAAATATACATTTCTCTTTGTCTTCCACTGTGCGCCGTGATTTCTTTCGTAAACTTCAGGATTGTAAGCTTGAAATTGAACAAGATCGAGTATTTCGTTAAGTATTTGCTTTCTTTCAGTTTATTTTTTTTTTTTATTGTAATAAAAATAAAATCAATAACTCTCTTTCTTGTTTTATCGATTTAAAATCGAATATGCCGGTTTTTCAAGTTCCTCTTTGTCTTCTACCATGTGCTATGATTTCTTCATAAGCTTCAGGTTTGTAAGCTTGGAATTGTTAAGCATTTGCTTTTTTTTCAGGTTGTTGTTCTAATGACTCTCTTTCTTGTTAGTTTTAGGTTTGTCGATTTGAAATCGAATATGCCAGTTTTTCAAGTTCCTCTTTGTCTTCTATCATGTACTATGATTTCTTTGTAAGCTTCAGGTTTGTAAGCTTGGAATTGTTAAGTGTTTGCTTTTTTTTCGAGTTGCTGTTCCAATGACTCTCTTTTTTGTTAATTTTAGATTTGACAATTTGAAATTGAATATGCTGGTTTTCAAGTTCCTTTTTGTCTTCTACCATGTGTCGTGATTTCTTTGTAAGCTTCAGGTTTGTAAGCTTGGAATTGTTAAGCGTTTGCTTTTTTTTCGGGTTGTTGTTCCAATGACTCTCTTTCTCTCTTTCTTGTTAGTTTTAGATTTGTTGATATCACAACATTTTCATTCAAGATTTAATCATTCGCTTAATTATTCGTCTTTATCAATCAAATTATTATATTGCTATTTACACAATAAAACATTTATTCATATTTATTTAATGATAATGTATAATATTAAATACATAAAATTATTATAATAAAAAAAATTTATTAAATTTACAATATTTTACAGAATATTTTGAATCTTATTATTTTATCGTTTATAGTAATGCTAGTTCAGTATTAATATAAATTTTGAATTATTGTCATTTTGTTGTCATCTATAATAATGCTAATTTAGTATTAATTTATGTTAATGCTATCTCAACATAGAGAATGATAAATTCAAGGACCTTACATTAAAATATTTAATGCTATAATAGTATTAGAAAATATTTTTTGATAATAGCTCGTAAGTACAGTAAACCAGAATTTTTTTATAGTAAATCACTATAGAAATCACGTTCATTCCAATGCAAAACTAATATAACCATATCTAAATCACTTGTATCACCACAATAGTCTGTAAGAATTTTTTACAGTAAATCACTATAGAAATCACATTCATTCCAATACAAACCTAATTTAAATTACTTGTATTACCACAATAGTTGGTAAGAATTTTTTACAATAAACTACTATAAAAATCATATTCATTCCAATACAAAACTAACATAACCATATCTAAATCACTTGTATCACTACAATAGTCTGTAAGAATTTTTTACAGTATCACTACGTTTATTCCAATACAAAACTAACATAACCATATCTAAATTACTTGTATTATTATAGCTTGTAAATACAGTAAAACAGAATTTTTTATAGTAAATCACTATAGAAATCATGTTCATTCCAATACGAAACTAACATAACCATATCAGTCACACAATTTGTCACGCTGATTACAGAGGTAAATTTTTTACTATGAAATTTGAGTAATTGACATCCATATGATCGATCCATTTTTCATAATAAATTGTAACAGTAGGCCCTCTTCAAAAAGGTTTTCTAAAAGGAAACCACAATCACGAGATAATAAATAGTGCTTTAGTTAGATATGCACTTTTTTATTTTTAAGTCTAAAGTAAGATAAGTTCCAAAGCTGAGAAAGATCACACCCTTAAAGTTGGTCTTTTGTTTTACTTTACATATACTTTTTATCTTGCTTTGAAAGTATTTTTTTTAAGTATAATAATAAACTTATTAAAGTTATTCAATATTCTAAACTATTTAGAGTTATTATCAACAAAGATTTATTGAAATTCAGACAGAGTTATAACTGACCAAGTAAATTAGATTAGAATTGAAAGAATTAAAGTAATGCTTACTACTACAGTACTACTACAGTACTAATATAGTTTTTAAAATTTTAGATAAAACTATTAACGAAAACCTTAATATAGATGAAAAAACTTTAGTAGTAGATTATTTAAGAATTATATGAAGTCAAATTTTTGAACATGTTAGATTGGATTAAACTACTATCAATATTGAACCTAGGTTCAAAGTTCATGAACATGTTCAAAGTTTTGAATAAAGAAAAAAGCATATAATCGCAAAGATAA